ACCACACAGAAGAGGCCCGAGTACGTCTGTGGGAGGAAACCGGTTACTGGGCCCCGTGCGGTTCGCTCGTGACGCTCAACGTACGGGACAGTGCCATTAAACGCCTCTTTTTTTTACAAATGTCTGCCATCGTAACAGCTGCAGCGCTCCGGTTTTAATCTGCTCACAGACACTTTGGACTCACTGACAAACGACCCCAAAAACTGTGTTCTGACTGAACTGCAGACATTAATTGTTTAAAAATAGCGTTTGATAGCACTTTGAGCTTTTGAGATGTTCTTCTCAATTCCTGAGAGGAACCGAAGGTGATCTGAGACGCAAAGCTCTACAGCAGCAGATGGAACGTCTCTGCTCATATTGGTGACTCCAGAAGAACCCTGAAGAACCGAAGGAAGAACTCGGCCGGTGTCATAGGTGTCTGTGTCTTGACATGACAATAAATGAAACACCTTTTTAGGGCTAATTAACTGCATTTCTTGAAGGTTTAGGACGAACGTTTCTCTCCCCAGAAATTAATTTGTGAATATAACCAGCCGATTGCGTGATAACTAAGTGGTAATGAATATAATGTTCACTATCTATGAGAACAAGCAGCATACTTGAACTAGCTGATGTTCTGGAGGGAGGCCTCTGCATTAATGCAGGAGCTCCTGGATCTCCTCCCAGGGGTCACAGCTCCTCTCTGGCTGCTCTTATAAGGCCTCACACATCCTGTGCTACCTGCATCAGCGTGGATTCTTTTTGAAATCTGACATCCTCCCCGTTCCTTATTAGACGTGTGAGACGGACAGTGAAAATAAAAAGCAGTGAGCTGTTGATCCCGCGAGGACACGCCGTCCGCACGGCCTCATTAAACAGACTTTTACGAGCGCTTTGAGGGCCGAGGCCGCCGCTGTTTAATCTCCTGCTCTCCTCCAGCTTCCATCACTTCACATTCTGCTGGAGGCTTTTAGAAGAGAAGGAAGAATATCAGTTTGTATTTGAAGTGCTGCTCTGATGACTTGAGGACTTGAATAACCTTGTAGCTGCTCTCCATGGTCCTTCATCCCGTATATTCTTCTTTATTTTATGTGATATTTTATGTGAAAATGACTTATATATTTAGTTGTTTTGTATTATTATGTGTAGGTGAAACTTGTTATGTTCACATTGGTGTCATTATTATTATTATTCACAAACATAACACATCGTGATGTATATTACTCTATTTTACTACTTTTGTTTTTACTTTCTTTCCTATTCTTCTGTTGCAATCTCTGATCAATCTCTATATCAATAAAAAAATCCTGTTTTATTGTTGACATGAAGATATAAAGATACCTACAAATCCGTTCAGAAAGGCGTTAGCGTTAGCTGCTATCACCTATGTGTGTGTGTGTGTGTGTGCGTGCGCGTGTGTGTGTGTGTGCGTGTGTGTGTGTGTGTGTGTGTGTGTGTGCCTTCCTCACGTAGATCAGGCTGGAGAAGTATCTCTCGCGGAGGTTCTGCAGGACGGAGGCCTCGTTGAGGAAGGTGAGGGCGGCCATGTCCTCCACCTTGCTGAACTTGGGCGGGTTCATCTTCTGGATGTCGTCTTTGTTCACCGTCACCTTCTGCCCGTTGGAGAGCTCCACCAGCAGCTGAAGACACACACACACACACACACACACACACACACACGCACACACACGCACACACACGCGCACACACACACACAAGCACTTGAAAATCGGCTAAAAAGAAAACTTAATTAACAGAAATTCAAACAGAGGATATTTCTAAGGGCCAGTCCTTACGTTACTTATTTTTTTTAATTTACTTTGGGCATAAAGAGTGTAAATTTAATTGGACTAAAAGGTGGGCGGGCTTAGCATGTAGCATGTAGCATGACGCGTAGCCATGGAGGATAACACACTAATAAGATACTAATGAATAACTTCTGCATTTGGAAATTGATGTATTCATGCTGTGATATTAGAGATATTTGAGATACAAAATCAAAGAAATTAATTTTGTTATAAATGTTCTTTTAGTAAACAACCTAAGTTAGGTTAAGTAAATGGTTATTATCATTCAATAAAGACAATATAACTACAGAGAAATTACTTAAATGCATTTTAATGTGACCATTAGTTACATTTAAGAATCTCTTTTCATTCCCTTTAACAGACTTTCCATCTGTAACCGCGTGTAAACAGACAGAGGTGACATGAGCCGTCGCCGACGTCGGCATCAGGTCACATTACTTCTTGCGTTACCTCGTCGCCCTTCTCCTCCTTGACGCTCGCCGCCTCGAAGCCCTCCTTCTCCGACGCCACCCACACCATCTTCTTGGCCGACCAGTCGGCCTGCGCCACCCCGCTGTTGCGGAAGTCGTTGTCCAGGAAGAGGAACTTGCTGTCGTCGGGGGCCGGGTCAGCCATGGCGGAGGTGTGGCCTCGGGCGGTCGGGGGGGTCGGGCTGACGCGTAGGCGGTCACTGGCGACTGGTTCGGCCTCTGGACGGGCGATGGCTTTCGGGTTGACCCTTGACCTGGATTTGACCTCTGGCCTGCGGAGGAGAGGAGGACGAGGATCAAAGGTCAAATTCCTCCACCAATGAGAACGCAGCAGCAGGAGACGCTCTCAGCGATCCGCGTTAATAAGAAGCACGATTGGTTTTAATGCTAAGCTAAGCTAATCGCTGGTAGTGACGGCTTCAGAGAGTCGGATCTCTCTTCTTCCATGAGTCCGAGCAAAAAATAAAGCAAATAAATTCACTAATGTCAAACTATTTCTTGTAGTCCGAGTACATTTTTTCAAACTGCCTTGTTTACTTTTCAGTGCTTCAGGAAAACCACTTTCAGATTTCAGAACAGTTTTTTTATCCTTAATGAATCATTTAAAGTCCTGGTTCGGACAGAAGATGACAACTGGTCCCATTGAGAACTGATCCCTCACATCCAGCCGAGGGAGAATAAAACCACTCAATCTATTCAAACCACCCGGGAGACAATAAAACACATTTCCTCCACCTCCCGCATCCGCCCGTCACTCACACCGGCTGCATTTGGTTGGGCAGATGAGCGGATAACGGCCTTACTTACTCCCTTATCCCGGCCTCGGCCTGCCGCTTTGACCTCCCATTGAACAGCAGGCAATAAAAGATGAAAAGCAGCGTGCAGATAACCCCGGTAATCAAACAGCTCGGCTGCCACGCTGGAATGCCCATGTTTGGCTAACCCCTTTGCTCCGGGTAGCCTCGGGAGCCCGAGCAGGGGATGCTAGGGACTTAGCGGGCACGCTACCTTATAAGGTGCAGCCCCGAGGTGTCCAGCCAAGCTTACCGTTTACACCAAAATGGTGACATGTCACACGGCGCGTCCATGTGTGGCCGCGGCAGGTAGGCGAGCGACAGGGAATCTCCCACCAACTTACTCTCAACTAAATTAAAGACTTTTAAAAAGTGCCACGAATTCAGAGTGATACCGGGTTTGAATTAAACGTTCTCACATAGCTTCATTACTCTTCAGATGCAATTATTACTCCTTAGCGACAGAAACGTGACTTTTAGCTGGTTTGCCAGCTATTTTTTAAAGTTATTTTGCATGTTTAAACAATATTAACAGGCTTAATTGAAAATGTACAGAAGTATATTAATACCCACCTGTATTCTGTATAATGAACGGTCACAGATGGGATGAATAAATGAAAGTATTTGTACTCACTGTGCAGTGTTTCAGCCCTCAGTGCAGGATGAAGGCAGGTAAATGAACTGATGATGATGATGCCATCCTTCCTCCCTCCACACTATTTAAACCGGCCCAGGACACCTGGGGGGGGGGGGGGGCGGCCCGCCTCTTACCCCCCACTCACACTCCAAAGTTGGCAGCCCAGCGGCTCCAGCCAACTCGAGCAGAGAGGCTTAATTGTCCTGCCTTCAAATTAAAAGCTTTCATTGGTGGTTGAAAAGTGGCGTTTGTTGGTTGGAGAGGAAGAGGAGGCCGTTTGGTCTCCAGCGGCGTACTTTTGTACAACCTTGAGATACTTGTACATGACAGCGTATTTATGAAGCACACATCAAGAAGTCCACAGTGTCCTACTTCGTGTTTTAAACTTTAACCAGACCATATTTCCAACGGTGTTATTAGTATTAAATTAATATTTTATTCCACACACACACAATAACCTAAAAAAGAGCCATTCAGCTTCATGATGAGGATTTTTAGCTTTTTATACTGCTGATAATACTTATGTAATTATTATACTGATAGTATAGTTCTATGTTTGTATATTTACTTTTACTCAAGCAGAATTTGATCATTTAGTTATATATTAATTTCCGGATAGAGTTTCTTTAAAAATGAAAAGAGAAATAGCGATAAAGGTCTTTTCAATGCCCTTTTTTCATCACTGTGTAACTGTAAGTAACATACATTCATACATATCAGTGGATCTACGAGTCAAATGTCATGACTCTATATGGACATGTTCTTGTGTATTTACTTTAGAGCAACTTTGTTGAGAGAAAGCAGTAAGAACAGTTGTTGGGACCCTTTGGACGATGTCCCTGTTTATTCACCGGAGCACACGAGTGTGTTTTGAGCTAAATTCCGGTTGTGATCAAAGCATTGATTAAAAACCAGCAGCCGGTGTTTGTAACGAGGATACAAAGTCTGAACCAGGACATGGGCCCGTTCACCGGTGTTAGGGTCCTTTTACTGACTCTGGTAAAGACAAAAAGTAAAAAGCTAGCTGAAGCTGGTCTGGACCAGAAAACAATTATATATGGTACAAAAGGAAACATTTTATTTTGTAAATCATGAAGCCCGTATATACCATAAATCAAAATGAGTTTAGCATTTCTTCCAAACTCCCCAAACCAGTTGTATTCATTCACACCTTGTTCTGCGTGCTTTCAGTTAATAGTCTTCTTAAGTGCGACATAAGGGGGCCAATTTACCCACAAGGTCGATAAAGTAGCAGAACAATAATCTGCCTTTAGTTTGAAAGGATTGCGCGGGAAACGCGGTTCTCGTTTGTTCCGGCCGGCTCGCCGTAGGATTCTCGTTTCCATGGCAACCACGCCGCGCAACAGCTAACGTGGTTACCAAGTTACCAAGTTTCTCGTTAACATTGTTCCGGTGAAGTACGATGTCCGCCCCGGTCGCGACCCCCGTCCGGGGGGACTTGGAGCCGTTCTTCACCGTGTTTGACGGCTCTTCCCCGGCGGACGCGTCCCACGCACGGCTGCTGTGGAGCTCGCTGTCCCTCCTCCCGCCGCTGGAGTCCCGGCTGGTGTCCGCCGACGTCCGCCAGAGGCTGCCGGTGTCCCGGCCGCAGCGCCGCTCCGGCGGCACCGGGCCCGAGGGGGCCGCCCCGCCGCCAACGCCGAGCTCGGAGCCCGCTCTCCGGCTGGAAGAGCGGCGGCGGTACGCGGCCATGGCCGACCAGAGGAGGGAGACGTTGGCTCGGCTGCGCCGGCAGCGGGAGCAGAGGCTCCGGAGGGAGGCGAGCGGCCCGAGGCGGAGGCTCTGCGGGGAGAGAAGCACGACGCCGCGGGGACCTGCGCACTCTGAGGCGGACGAAGAGCTGGTGAAGCAGCTGCCGTCCATCTGATAGACGAGCTTACTTTACAAATGATTTTATAACTTTTAAACTCTCTTAACCAGTTTAAGTTTCTGTTTCTTAATATGAGAAATTCCACATAAAGACCTGTGACGGTTTTTAACAATGATTTGCAGATTTGATGTGTGTTTGCAAATTAAACCGGGAAATGAAGAAATATAATAAAAATTCCAGATGGTCCTAAAAAAAAATTTGTATTACTGGTCAGTTTAAAAGACCCACACAGGCAGATATTCATTTAATTAAAGAGTACATATCAACATGAAACTTCTAATGAGGTATTATGTAATAATGAATGGAGGAGAAATCTATAAACACAGATAGAATTCTGACTTAAATGTTTTCTTTCCACTAGTCTGAAAGAAGATGAGTTATAGAAGATGAAAGAAAACATTATTACAGATATTATATCTCAACTGTCAGCTTACGTCAGTCTGCTCTGAACAGCATTACGTAACAGGAAGTGAATATTGTGTGATATTCAAATTCCAGACATCAGGGTGAGAAGGCCCATAAGAGGATGAGAGCGACCGTTGACTTCATCTCATTTGGTTAAAGATTTCCGAGGCCGTCTCTAAACGCTCTTTAACCTCTCAAACATTCATGTAATTCACCCTGCGGCGGCTTTAAGGGATCCGCCACCTAAGATCCGACCTCGGCACCAGCAGTATCCGGCTGTAATTCCTTCCTGCTTCGTTCTAAGTATGTTTGTTATATAATACCACCTAAACATGATCTCAGTGAAAAGAAGATTGTTGTTGAGGGGAAACGTTTTACAGTCTCGTTTCAGGCAAATGTTTCAGTCGACATGCAAATGTCAGCTGTGGTCGCTGAGCGCCGATGTGATGATAACTTCTGAAGAGAGACTTCAGTTTACTGAAGGACAATTCATAATCTATGTTTTCAATCCCAACAACCAAATGAAAGCAGCGAATGCATCAAATATCCATCAGAAACACCATGCAGGAGTCTGCAGGCACGCAGCTGGTGAAGGAACACAGTGCTGTTTGTCGATGTGGACGTCCGTAGCTCTGCAGGTGGGATTGGACCTGATGATGGTGCTGTGTGAAGTCAGACCCTGAAACCCTGAAACCTTAAATCCTGAACCCTGACCCCTCAGGGACGTCACATGGTTTAGTGTGAGAGGATGAAAGGGCTTAAAAAGAACACAAATTCAAAGTTTTTCGTTCGCTCCACATCCCGTTACCGTGACAACGTCACGTTGTGCACAATTGTGGGTCGTCATTTTTATATTTTTCTACTCTCTGATTTGAGCGTCTTCCAAGCTGAGAGGTAATACAGGCTCCCTCTCGTAACCCTGGGCTCAAGGACACATTGCTATGAATTGTGGGTAATTCCCTCACTCAGAGTCTGCAGAAACACAGACTTACATTAAGTCAAAAAGGGTTCACGTCTGGGGTCCTCAGGAGAACATGATCGTCTGGAGTCCTCCTCGGGGCAACATGAACGTCTGGAGTCCTCCTCGGGAAAACGTGAACGTCTGGAGTCCTCCTCGGGGCAACATGAACGTCTGGAGTCCTCAGTCAGGGCAACATCAACGTCTCGAGTCCTCCTCAGGAGAACATGAACGTCTGGAGTCTTCCTCAGGGGAACATGAACGTCTGGAGTCTTCCTCGGGGGAACATGAACGTCTGGAGTCTTCCTCAGGGGAACATGAACGTCTGGAGTCCTCCTCAGGAGAACATGAACGTCTGGAGTCTTCCTCAGGGGAACATGAACGTCTGGAGTCTTCCTCAGGGGAACATGATCGTCTGGAGTCCTCCTCAGGAGAACATGAACGTCTGGAGTCCTCCTCAGGGGAACATGATCGTCTGGAGTCCTCCTCAGGAGAACATGAACGTCTGGAGTCTTCCTCAGGGGAACATGAACGTCTAGAGTCCTCAGTCAGTGGGGGACTTCCTCATTAAAGATGCTCCCTGTCGACGTTTCACTCTGACGTTTTTATATTAACTAGTCTCTTTGGGAAAAGATCAAAGCCACATGTTTCATGCATTGAAGCATTTAAACATGTATTCAAATATTGCATTTTAACCCTGGAAACTACATGGAGGACGAACCAGCGTCACTGGAAGGAACTTGTTGCTTTTAAAGAATTCCAAATATCTCTCTAGCCTCTCCACCGCCTGATGTCGTAATCGTACCTATTATGACGGTTGTTGTAAATATTGCTATTCTTATTCTGATTATGTGAACATTAAATGAAACACGCAGTGTTTGTGTCACTTTTCTCACGTGGGTAACGTTATATATTGATGGGGGTTTGGGTTTTTCTGCCCTCTACTGATCAGAAATGTTTCACCGCGGCTTTAAAAGAACTTTTACTTCTCTAGATCTTCTGCTGTGAGGGCAGACTTTGCCTTTAGTCCTTCTGACCTTCCATGCGTCCCTGTGGTTGAATAGAACACTCGGAGCATCAAAGAGCCGGCGCTCTGATGCAACCGCTCGGTAACGGTGCAGCCCGGGGGACAGGAAGCCTCTCACAGCTCCGGGGGCCACTGGGGGGGCAGCTTCTGGGTTCGGGGTCATTTGGTTCACGGATGTCCTCGTCAGCGCTTTGTTTGAAGTATTTTCAATTCCATAATTTGTCTCAACCCTTTTGAGTGGTTCTGTGTGTAAAGAGTTGCATGTTCAGTGATGGGTGGATTTGAACGGACCAATGAGCTACTGGGAAGAGAGGGAAAGTTACGGGATATGATTTACATGTGAATTTAACAGAAAAGGATCAAACCACAGATATTTTCATCTGTTCGCTCTTATAGTAGCAAAAAAAGCAATTTCACCACCCTTTTTAAACTAGGAGTAAGTGTGTGTGCAGGTGGTTCCTGTGGAGATGAACGATGTTTAAGGAGAACATGGCTTCCCTCCCTGGATGTGAACGATCAACACGGGGCAGAAGAAACATCCGTTTCCATCACGTGGCTCTGCTTCCCTTCATGATCCGGTTCCTGCTGGTGTCGGAGGGACCCTCAGAGGACAGGACAGTCACACAGGGCCGGGCACTAGGACCCTGAGGGGCCTCATTGGTGCTGCGGAGGCCCGACGAGGAGCTTTATGGCTCTGCGGCGACCCGTCGCGTAACACCAGAAAACAACAAGAAAACACAGTCAATGACAACAAACACGAGGAGGGACACAAATCACTGCAACACCAGGCTTCCCAGAGGCCGCCCCGAGGCCGAGAGGCAGCCGATGAACGGGCGGCTCGTCGCCAGTGAGGAGGAGGAGGAGCCGCTCTGCGACCTTCACGCGTCCTCTGGGAGTCTCGCTCTTCCCTCCACACGGCAGTTTATTGAGAAACACAAATGGTTGGAAGATGAGACGGGAAACAATCTGCTCGTAATTAGGAGGAAATTCCTGGCAAATGAAATGAGGACAACTATTTACTCCTCGAGGGATCTCCTCGGTCTGGCGGTGCTGATTAGTTTTTTCCCCGTTAAATTAAATTTGCAAACGAGTAAAAATAAGACCTTTAAATGCCTTTAAACAACTAAACCAACAGCCTCCGAGTGAAGAACGGGCAGTTCGCTGCACGAGGATAACGGGCATTGATCTCTGGCGATGTCCCTTCTGGAAATGACTCGTATCGTTATAAATGCCTGATGGTCCTTCGCCTGGATGTGACCGATGTATCTGCACCTCCACCGGCGGATTCTCTGCAAACAAGCGCCGGTGATGGACCGCCGGGCTCTGCAAACAACGCTCTTGTTTATCGCCATGTCGCGGCGGATGGAGAAGGTCGTACAGCACGGGGGGGTTTGTACAGACTGAATAATGCAGATCCACCTTGAGATGAAGCATCGTTATCATCAAGCCCCATTAAGCCCCCCGACAGCACGTACATACGCATCTAATGTTGTCCCCGGGGACCGGCCCTCTCCTTCAGAGGCCCGACGAATGAGAACGGAACTGTTGACCCACGTCTCATTCGTCTCATCGGGGGCGAATTGGGCTTTTTTTTATTGTAGTTTTGGTTTAGCAGTTTGATTGTTTAGGTGATAACATGCCAGTGTGGATACATGAAGCCAAAACAGAAAGCTGCAGCCCCTCAAATGGCCACTAGAGGCCTCCTCCAAACCAGGTCCATCCCCATAAGCCTCAATGTCAAAATTCACAACTTTACAGCACAAATTAACGTGTTTACAGTCTGTAAAAAACAACGATTTTGGTCTCATTAGATAATAACCTTGTCTATGACAACTTGAGGGGGTGAATCTTTGTATGACTCAGACTTTAAAGATTATATTATCTATTTGGGCTTATTTAAGGGCGTTGCTATTAACAAAAAGGTGCTCGAAAGGGCCGCTGTTCAATTGTTCCGCTTGGCACATTTAGGTAAAAGCCTTTTCATCACTTGTGATTACCATATTAAACAAGCACAGAAATGTATTTATGTTGCAGAATAAATGACAAGGAATGAGTGTTTTTGTTGCATAATAAAAAAATGTAAAAATCATTGGCTCAGTCACTGCAGTTCATTTAAAGGCCACAAAGCTGGGATGTGAAATCATGTTTAACTAAACTTTATATACATGCTGGTGTGTGACAACAATCTCATTTAACATCTGTTTTTGATGTTAATATTCCTCAATTGGATTTTAAGCTAACGCTAAAAATGGTCCACAGCAGAGCGAATAGTCGCTGATAAAATAGAATAATATATATATATATATATGTATGTATGTAAAAGGTTAAAGATAGCACTGACATTTAAAGCATCCATAAAGCCAAGTACCACAGTTCATCACTGAACTGAACTATGAAGGGGGTCACCTGGATGTAAAATCAATGAGCGTATTGATCTTCCTCCAACAGCCATTTTGAAAAACATTTAAAACGTGACGTCTACTTGGTACGACCCGTATATATATATATATATATATATATATATATATATATATATATATTAATATATGTATCTATATATTCAGCAGCTCTCCGTTAAACGTTCTCTGCCTCCGTTGGCAACGTCCAGCCGAGCGGCGAAACAGAAGCTGTAACAGCTCGGCTAATCTTCCCGCTCTGCATCCCGGTCGGCCGTTACGGCCCCGCCGAGTCCATCCGTCACGGGGGGTTATGGATCGGAGCGACGCAGCCTTGGGGGCGGGGTGGGCGGGGGGGGGCAGGGACCTTATCTGCAAGTCAGCGTGGAGCTCTTTGATTCATTGGTGGAGGGTTGTGCAAATCTGAATAAGTTCAGGAAACAGCAGCAATTTAGTTTTAATAATTCATGCTGCGGATCGAATTATCCCCGTGATTTATGGTCATAACTTATTGCCTCACGAAATTCGCTTCCTTGAATTAATAATTACCAGAGAGGACAAACGATCGTTCGGTGGAGACTCACTGGATCCCTTCGACTCACTATTCGTCGTATCTGAATTTAAATAATCTACTTCAAGCAAACAAGGTTCATCCACCTCAACACAGCGATTAAAAGGTCAAACGACCTTTTATTCAACCCTGATTATTGTGGTCTCAATTTCTAGGTTGAAGTCTTCTTCATTACAGCATGACGTCCTGTTGACTGAAAAAACAAGATGGCGGCGGCCAAATCCCCAAAACGATCACAAATCAATGATGTCACAACAACCTCTTAAATAACGCCTCTGGTTCAGGGAAAAACACTTGGTTACATATTTTAATAAAAAAGACTGAATAATTAGTAAGTTTAGAGTCTTTAATATGTTTTTGTTTCAGTATTGAGGTCGGCTGTTGGATGGTATTTAACGGAAGGAAATCAGAATGTTTCACACATCATAAAAATATAATAATATAATATAAATAAATATTCCAATCAGATCTTTACTGCGCACCAAGAGGATTCACGACCTTCCTCCAACCAGCAGTTTACAGAGACGCAGCTCGGGGATTTAAAACTTGTCTGGATTACGTCGGCCCCCAATAAAAAGCTCCCCGTTACTTCTGCAGCCCAGTTAATCCCGGCTGTTCCCCGTCCAGCTCGCGTTGCGTAAGCGCTCAGACAGACGGGGGCCTCCAGGAGGAGACGCTGGTTCCTCGTTGGTTTCTAACTGCATGAACAACCACTTCGCCATTTCGTGTTCAGTCAAATGTGGAGTGTTGAAAAATGACGAGATCAATGATGCACGTTGTTGAGTTTTGCTTTCTCGATATTTCAACAATTTCCAAACCAAAGATAATTGAATTTGAATCAAAGTAAGGTGTGTTTCATTTGTCGATTAACAACCAATGACGCAGGGTGACGTGTGCATGTTCCCCTGCCTCCTCTTACCCGTGTAAACTACTGATGTCCCAGTAACGTTGAGGCTTTCTCCTTGGTGGCAGATCTCCTCTGGCCTGAGACGTTCACAGATTCACTTTATAAAACACTTCCCTGGATAAGAACATCGGACCCCTCGCTCTTCCCCGTTTGAAATGTGACCTCGGTGAGGATTTATGAGGCGGGCCGAGCAAAGCGCCCCCGAGACCTCCCCATACGCCGCCTTTCTGCCGATGATTCTCAGAGAGGTCGGGGGTCAACGTTCCCCTGCAGCGGACGGCGGCTTTCAGAGAGGGTCGACCCCACTGACCTCTGGGTGATGGAGCTGTCAGTCATGTGATCTCCCCAACCTCACGCAACGCGTGCAGCCCGGAGCCGTCCAAGTGAGACGTGTGTGATGGAGGAGCGTTTGGCTCATCGGGTCCCTCCTTCTCCTTCACGCCGTCCCGTTAAAGAACTTATTCATCTGTCTTATGAATGTGTGTGTTTGTCCAGGGAGACGTTGTGTTACAGATCCAACATCTGACCCCCATCAAACCTGTTTCACTAAACACTACTAATACAAGGACTAAAGAGGCTTTTCTGTGGCTTGGATGGACATGAACAACACAAACTCAGAGGAGAGAATATGACATGCAGCTTTTAATCTCTTCACACTAGTTTTCACATTCAGCGTCGTAAATAGGGCGCGGCCTTGTTCAGCCGCTCGGTGCTACGTGTAGTATTTAGTTCACGTCCTCTCACCTTTTCATTTTTATTTTCTACTTCATGATCAAAAACAAAGTTACACAACACTCAACGACATGCCAAACTCTTTGTTTGTCACCCACACGATCGGCTGATGCCTTTTTGGTTTTAAAATACATCTATGACATAAATATAACATGTTTCTCCTGTTATAAAAATAAAAAGCAGCCTTTTACCTCCTTTGATCCGGCACCCTCGACTCCCAACGAAGAAGCGCCAGATGTGGTCATTGAAATTAAGATCATGTCATTAATGGCGTGTCTTTTTAGAACCCTATGTGCTCTGTTATGATCGACACCTCGATGAGAAAGGCTAAGCCCCGCCCCTTTCGATAAATGTGTGGAGGTCAACGGGCAGAAACAAATACACAAACTATTCCGTCTGAATTGTGCCACGTACTACACGTTTCGATCTGCTAACCACGAGGTGGTGGACGTGTCCCCCGATGTCGCCGTTCATCCAGCGACGCGTTTTACCCGACAGGAAATATAGGAGATATTTGAACAGTCTACTATTAATGCTATATATGAGAATCTTTTACTTCCAGGCAGCCAGACTCACGTTCAATGCATCTATGCTGATAATAACACGCTGAAATACTACACATAGCACATCCACTTAACCCGGAGATCACCTTCCTCCCGCCCACCAAGGATCTCAATCCCCAGATCGACACAAAGTCACAGTTCATATAGATTTTGTGTTAATAAATAAAGAACATGTCCGCCTGGTTCGTGTGTTTCTCTGATTCGTCTCCTCTCCGTCTTCCTAATCCTCCTCCGACAGGAAGCCAGGGCCGCTGTGAAGAAGAAGAAGAAGAAGAAGAGTCCTCAGCACTGCTCCTCCCCCAGCGAGTCCGTGTTCTCCCCCAGGTCCGCGGAGGCCGAGGTGCCCCTCATCTTCCCCCGGCCGGCGCCGGGGCCCGGACCGGGAACTGGGCCCGAGACCAGCAGTCCGGCTCTGGCTCCGCCGTGGCCCGGGTAGACCTCCACGGCGCTGGAGATGGACTGGAGGGAGCGGTCCTGGAAGTAGTGGAAGGCCTCCTGGTCCAGGTAGTTCTGTTCCTCGCGGAGGCCCTGCTCGAACAGCTTGCGCTTGTGCCTGAACTCGATCACCGTCTTGGTGTAGGAGTTGAGGGTGGTGACGGAGGCGGCCATGCAGCAGGTGAAGGAAGCCCAAGCCATGCTGGTTGGGGAGGGAAGGAGAAGAAGAAGAAGAAGAAGAAGAAGAAGAAGAAGAAGAAGAAGAAGAAGAAGAAGAAGAAGAAGAAGAAGAAGAGTGAAGGTTTCTACTCATATGGTTGGTTGGTCCGACCCTGGAATTAATTATTTGGAGGATCGCAGCAGGCGAAGCTCGGATGGTGAAGGTGTTAAACATAATCCCTTCATAACAACAGCATCTCAGCATTGTCCTTATGGGCATTTAGCATTAGCATGAAGCTTAAAAGACTTCAGTTTCTTTGTTCTCGTGTTGGTACGAACACAACTTTTCTAGCATTCTAGAATGACAGGAAGCTAAACGATGCATTTAAATGACTGGTTTTAATGACTTGTCTGAACATTCATTTTCTTTAAATGTTATAAATGAGAGAATCACCAACCAAATATATAAATGATCGAATTGATAAACTTCAGTTGACGACACAACCAGATAACTGTTACAGAACAGAAGTGATTGGCGGGTTTTCTGCGGCTGAATATGAGCTTTAAACTAAATGTTTTATTCAATCTCAAGGAGCATTTTGTGGTTGAGATTCATCGCTGCTGCTGATTTTATTACAATAACGAGCCGAGTGTCTCCTCGAGGTTTTTACATGAGAAGCTTCCAGCCGAACGAGAAAATCCACCTTTGTTACCTTTAATCCTCATTTTCCTCCTTAACGAAAGACATTCAAAGGTGTATTTAATAAACAACGGGGATTCATTTATTGTGTTGACAGTGATTATTAATTTGTATTACAAGTTTCATATAACTTGTAACGTCATATTTGGGGAATTTTGGAGCCACAGATGCAAATATGAATCTTAAAATGTTTTCTTTTCCCTAGACTGAAGGAAAGGTGCGTGTGTGTGTGTGTGTGTGTGTGTGTGTGTGTGTGTGTGTGTGACCAACCAGAAGGACCAGCCGTAGTCCCAGCTGTGAGGCCTCCAGTCTTCAGGACCAAGACTGACGGTGATCTGGAACACCTGAGTGTACATCATGTGGGCCACCATCCCTAAAAGACCTGCAACACACACACACACACACACACACACACGACTCGGTGAGCTCCACTGAGGTCACCTTCATGGTTGTATGTTGGTTTGGACATTGGCGACAGGTAAGAATGAATATAAAATGTAAACAGCCACAACAGGTGAATGACCTTGTGTACCTACGTGACACACACACGCACACACACACACACACACACACACACACACACCCATAGGTCTAAAAATCCGTCAGGACGTTGAGGTGGAGGAGAAACCACGGTGTCTTTACGGTGAACCGTGAATCTGCAGCCGCTTGGTTGAGTGTGGCTCGATGCTTCACACACACACTGACTATAAGCACACACCCTGTGGTGACCCGTCACACACACGTGACGTACACACACACTCAGGGTAGTGCTGCTTTAACGCCGCTCTCTCTCATTCGCTCATTAGCGTGTTTGATGTACTGTACCTTTAACGAGGATGTATCCATATCCTTAATTGATCGGGTGACTCACGAGAAATCGATCGATGCTGCGTGATGACTGATCACTTACTTTACCCGTCAAAGGAGTAGGTATGAGAAGGAGGTGGAGGTGGAGGAGGAGGAGGAGGTGGAGTAAGAGAAGGAAGCGGTGTGAAGGGGTGGAGGAGGAGTAGGAGAAGGAGGTGGAGGAGGAGGAGGAGGAGGGGTGTGAAGCGGTGGAGGAGGAGTAGGAGAAGGAGGAGGAGGAGGAGTAAGAGAAGGAGGAGGGGTGTGAAGGGGTGGAGGAGGTGGAGGAGGAGGAGGTGGAGGAGGAGGAGGAGTAAGAGAAGGAAGCGGTATGAAGGGGTGGAGAAGGAGGTGGAGGAGGAGGAGGTGGAGGAGGAGGAGGAGTAGGAGAAGGAGGCGGAGGAGGAGTAGAGAAGGAGGAGGGGTGTGAAGCGGTGGTGGAGGAGTAGGAGAAGGAGGTGGAGGAGGAGGAGGGGTGTGAAGCGGTGGACGTCATGTGACACACTTTCTGCACTTGGCCTGAGGATAACGGCTTTGAGGGTCAGAGGTCATCCGCTGGAAGGATTGCAGGATTCGCTTCTTAAACCTCTTACACAAGAAGTTGGCTCAGAGAGCCCCGTGTCTCCGCCTCCTCCTCCTCTTACTCCTCCCCCTTTTCCTCTTACCGGAGAGCACGGTGAAGACGGCGGCGAAGGCGTTGAGTTTGAGTCCGTCGATGACGTTGCTCGAGTGGAAGAGCTCGAGACACATGAGGCTGAAGCCCACCACCAGCAGCAGGATGTAGAGCACCTCGGACACCACGGACAGCCACAGCACACCTGCACACAGGTAGCAGAGCAGGAGGCGGAGCTTCTCATGCTGAACCAGAACCGCAGAGAGCTCTCGCTTAAAGCCTTTTACTGAGCTCTTATTTTGTAATTCATCAGGAAACGTAATGGTCTCCGATGTGATACGGATTGTTTTGTATTGAGGGAAATACGAAAACGTGCAACAAAAGCCACACAAATATGAAACGTTTCACAGAAGGAGAAACTCAAAGGAGCTTCTGCAGCTTTTACTGCAGCAACGGACCCTCCACCCATCAAGTCCTCACTTATTCCCTTTCCTTATTAAATGTCTTCCTTGACCTGACCTTGTCCCTGTCGACCTTCTCTCCCGCTGCTGTCTCATAAAAATGTGGATATTCAATTTGCATTTTTGTAGTGTTTTTGTCCTTCGGGAATTTAAATCGTCCCTCCATTTATACCCTGAAACCCCTGACGAGACTCTGACGACTCTTTGGAGAAAGAAGACACATCTCTTCTTCTCGTCTGTTTATTTTTTGCAGACATGTAATAGCGGCTAAATCCCTGTCTGGCTTTGAGTTCAACGTTATCTAACCACCTGTAACTAGACTCGCTTGTCGTTAGGCTTCATCGATAAAACTCAACGTCTTTGCTTTAATGTGTCCTCATGAATTAAACGTTTGTCTGAGAGAATAATGACATCATGGGATTTAAGCTTCCCTGTCAGCCTCACTGTCGCTCATATAAGAGCCGCCCCCTGGTGGCCATTAGAGAGAATGCAGCTTATCAACATACATTTCCGATATAATTAGTTTTGAGGAGGTCGTAGGAGGCGTAGGAGGCGGAGGAGGAGGAGGAGGCGGCGGCTATGGGTTGGTATAAAACTAGAAGGTCTCCACTAAACCTATGTGAATAAATAAACCTGCTTATTAATGTAGGCCAGTGTTTAATGGACCGTGTTATCGGGCCGGATATCAGATGGGTGAGGGGCTCGGATAAGGACATCAGTCATGTGATCGCTGGTTGCTAGGAGACTTCCGTAAAGCCATCCAATCAGAGGCGGTGGAAATGATTAATAATTTAGTATCAAACAAACAACAATAGTCTGTTGTCTATCGTTGGTAGAAAAGTGATAAATACAGTGTTTCCCACTGGACCATGAAGGCAGCGTGACAACAGACTTCATAGACGGATCTGAAACAGGCAAAATCATGGATAATAATATATATTCATTAATGAACAACAAAGCTATAAGCCTGAGAGAAACGCTACAGACCTGCGGCTGAAACGCTCTTAACGTCTTAACCACTATTGGACGGGTTGCGATGACTCATCATTCATGATGAACTGGAACGGCTGTAACAATAGTTGTGTTTGGTGCTAATTAGCTAGCGTTAGCATTGTGTCATGTTTGTGCCTTAAAACGAGTTTTAATGAAGTAATCTCTCGGTTTCTGGTGAGCGGCACATTTCGTTTAGTTGAATCAAACTATTGGCTTTAAACTCGCAACGCTATTGAATATGTATCACGAGAGACTTCATTAAACAGCAAATAGGAGACGCGAACGGCAGCGAATGAGCTCATCAGACCGAGCCACATAATTACAGATTTAATCACTCTCTGAATGCACGTGTGTGTGTGTGTGTGTGTGTGTGTGTGTGTGTGTGTGTGTGTGTGTGTGTGCGCACGTGATGTCGACCTTTTTCTGTCTCTCGTGTGCGTTTGACTCCTTCTTTCAGGGTTTACCAAAACGTCAACAACGTAGAGTATTTCAGATTTTTCCCCACAGGGAACCTGATTAATGCATTAAAAGCTGGATTTAGGTTGCTGAATTATATCAGAAGACTAATTTAAATAACTTCTAATGAATACAATTAGTCAACTAATGACTGTGACGATTTCACTGCTGCTTAATAATTTGATTTGTTTAAGGAGTGATCAATTATCTTCCCTTTTGAGCTCAAACTTTAAACGTCTTCATTTAAACCAAACCTCAAAGGGTTTAAATGAATTAAAAGAGAAAACATTTCAAATGAGAAATTAAACCCATTAATCTGTTCTGGATTGATTAATTTCCTGTCTGCTGACTAATTAGTTAATGGAATTATCTCTGAGTGTAATACACGCTGATTTAATGTCACACCGGTTCTTCATTTAATTATATTTACACCAGAGTTTTCAGCTGCGAGAGGTTTTATTTTTCATTATCATCAAGGTGCACGTTGAATATTGTTTTGTTCCTTCAATCTCTAGTTTGTTTCAATCAACTTTTTACTCCTCAGAAAGCTGCTGTAACAACAAAAGATCAAATGTGACACTTCTTCCTTTTCTTTAACTCCATGCAGCTCAGTATATATATATATATATATATATATATATATATATATATATATATATATATACCACCAGCAAAGTCTACAAAAGGCAGTTATCATTAATGCCCACTTACCCTTCTGTTTTGATGTTGTTTCTAATTGTTTTATTGCTTAAATAATCCAATCATTAATTTAGCATTGTGCGCTAATGCGCCATGATACACAGCTGAAATGAAACGTATTTATTAAACATGGAAAGTTTAATATCCACGTGTCCGCGGTTTGATAAAACCATTGAATAAATAATAATTGTCTCGATTGGTTCAATCTTTATTTCCTGGCGTCAAAACAAAAAGAAAGAAGAAATCCTTTTACCAAAATAAATAAATATTTGTCTCTTTTTTGAATCGGTGTAGTGTGTCCCTTAGGAACTGGTGGAGACCAAACACAGAGCTAAAAGAGAGAGAACTCGGGATTTATACCGATCAGATCCAAAAAGAACAGCTTTAAAACTATTCCTATAAAGTATAAGACATAAAGAGTTGCATTCAGCAGCAGACGGACGGTTAACAAGTCACATGTCAGATCTACGGAGGACTTTGGCCTCCTCACCCCCCCGGACTGTTGTCCTGTTTGTTTGGGTATTTTCATTAAGAAACCAGGAGCAGCTGTGTGAGACTCAAAGGAAGACAGATTAACACATCCTTGTGTGGGAGGCAAGGTCGCCCCCCCCCCCTCCCCTCCCCCTCCAGATGGCACCAACACACAGAACCAGTGAAATAGAGGCTCCGCCCACACGGCGCCCCACAGTCCCTTCCTCCTGGACGCTGCGATGTTCCTTTTACGGTCGGCGTGAACAACGAGAGCTTCGATCTGCAGTTTGGAGGAATTCAGCACCCGATGCAAACGCATGGATCTATTCTGCATTAAGGGTCTTATTAAAAGATCAGTTAAAGAGAAGAAGTAATAAAGGCCAAAGCAAACGGTTTCCTAAAAGATAAAAGTAGTAAAGTAGAACAGATAAAAATGAAGAAATTCTGATTTGTTTTGCTGCAAACTATGGAAGTCAACTTTATGAAAACACTAAAAGAAGAATGAGTGCGTGAAAGTGTCGAGTCAGCAAAGTCCGCTGAGAGGAAATCAATGAATTCACTAAGACGACATATTAACATCCATATTAACGACATATTAAGACGGTAATGACAGATATAACCAAGCGTGTTCATGTGAACATCCTCTTATGTTGTTGATTAAAACACGATTTTGCTTTGACAACTTTGACGAAATTGGCTTAAAAACTTATTTGAGCGTCATTCTGTGTTTTTTGTTCGTGGTTCAGGTTCTCATAACTTCCATAAATCAAAAGTGACACCACACCGGAGAAGATGGAGCGTGTTTTATGCAAATTAATAAATGTCACTTTCCTTCCTCTCGCTCGTCCATCAGTAAGTTCTCAATGAAGGCGTCAAGGCGTCAAAGAGTCAGAGGCTACGTGGCGGCATTCCTACTTCCCAGACCTGCAGAGGACGCTTTGACTGAAGGCGTCCTCAGGTTAGCTGGCTAGCGAGTTAGCATTGTGAGTTTGGATGAAGCTTTGAGTTATTAGATCTCACCATGTTTTATAGTCTATAGTTTATGGTTCTCCCGGGCGCCTCAACGCCCACTGTGTGCGATGGTTAAATGCAGAGAACAATTTCCTGTATGTGTAAAATAACACTAGGCAATAAAAATGGGTTCATCTTGTCCACTTGGCGGTTAGCTCACAACAACAGCAATGGCGACAGGAAATAAAACGTGACGTCCAGTCCGCGGTTTAAATATTAAACCAGCGGAGCGTTTGAGCCACGGCAAAACCCGAGTGTTGCTTCCTCTGTGGTTTCACGGTCGCTTTGAGGGACAAAGGCCGATGACGTCATCGAGCTGATAGATCCAAGCGTCACTTTGAAGGGCGGCTCCAGCGAGGCCGTTCGCTTGGCGCTCTCGTTACTATAATGAACTATTCTTTACATTTTCTTTGATAAATGCTGCCTTCAAGATGGTGTCATGGTTTAATTTACTTTAGGACGCATCAATCAAAGAAACTACCTGAGATGAGTTCTGTGGAACGACTCAAAGAATTAAGCCGTGAGAAGATGTGTATGTATACATTTATATATTTTCTTTTTCTGGGCCTGGCGAACAGGTGGGAAGCGGGGGGGCGCGCCGCCTAATGACGGCCATTACTCACCTCTCTCTGACGCCGGGGCGAGATCAATGAAGCTCCGGCACTTCTCACCTGAGAGAGACGGGAGGAGGTGAAATGAGGTCGGAGAGACGAAGAAGCGAGGGAAGGCCGGGGAGGAAGGACGGAGGAGAGGACGGAGGAGAGGACGGCGTGATTAATGACAGGAAGGTGGGGAGAAAAGGAGGAAATGAGTTAGTGGTGAACCCAATAAAAGCCGTTGATGCGTCAACACCGATATAATGAGCTGTTTAGTATCAACACAAACAACACCTGCAGGGATGTCAACAACATTCACACACTATCGAATGTCAACAAATACCGTCCCTCGTCTTGGGATTGTCCGACATGGAACGGAGACCTTGAGTTTACCTGTAAAGTAACTGCACCACTTATCAAAGGTCACTGACGTTCAGCATCTTCATCACACTGACGTCCTCACACACCTGCGACCCACAATCAGCCCGAACACACACACACACACACACACACACACACACACACACACACGCATGAAGGCGCTCGGTCCGTCTCCAGCATACTGACTGAGGTGTCAGAGGAAGAAAAGAAAGACGAGAGTCCAAACCATCAACAAAATAAGAGAAGCATTTATTCTCTAATCAGGCAACTAAGTAAAGATGGAGATGGATCACCGGTCGGATCCTGGAGAAACCAGTCCACCGTGGACAGACCAGATCCTCTACTAGAGACAAGTCCACACTGGACAGAATAGATCCTCTACTAGAGACCAGTCCACTGTGGACAGACTAGATCCTCTACTAGAGACAAGTCCACGGTGGACAGACCAGATCCTCTACTAGAGACAAGTCCACACTGGACAGAATAGATCCTCTACTAGAGACCAGTCCACTGTGGACAGACCAGATCCTCTACTAGAGACCAGTCCACTGTGGACAGACTAGATCCTCTACTAGAGACAAGTCCACGGTGGACAGACCAGATCCTCTACTAGAGACCAGTCCACTGTGGACAGACCAGATCCTCTACTAGAGACCAGTCCACTGTGGACAGACTAGATCCTCTACTAGAGACAAGTCCACGGTGGACAGACCAGATCCTCTACTAGAGACAAGTCCACACTGGACAGAATAGATCCTCTACTAAAGACCAGTCCACTGTGGACAGACCAGATCCTCTACTAGAGACCAGTCCACGGTGGACAGACCAGATCCTCTACTAGAGACCAGTCCACTGTGGACAGACTAGAGCTCAGCTGCCGGGAGCAGCAGAAGCACCATCTCCTTTTTCTCCTCCTCTTCCTCCTCCTCTCTGGGAGCCATCACCACGCTGCTGGGGACCCACAATGCATTGCTGATTCGGCGGGGGGACTGGGAGGGTCAGACTGTGAGAGCCTGAAGAGACATGGACGTCCTAAACTGCCTTTCATAGTAACTTTAAGTAGAATAAATGTTCATATTTCCGTTCCTCCTTTAAGAACCAGAATATGTTCCTGGGCTCTGCAGAGAGAAGAAGTCGTCCATCTTCAATCAAATGTTCAGTGAGAAACAATTAGTGAAACTTTCCTGTTTCCCATCGGCTCGTTCTGCGTTTCCTCGCTCACCGTTTCTAAATTAAAACATAATCACATTTAAAAATTGCCTCCCATGTATGTCCCAGAAACTCATCTGAAGTATTACAACTCATCTGTTCCAAGGTTAAAACTAAGAGGAGGCCGATGAATGTTCACAGCCCACAGGTGAGCCGCTCGCCAGGAATCTGAAATGTAATTAAGAACGAGCGAGAACAATCAGGAGTCCTCACGCCTCCAACCCACCGATCTACATAGATGATGAAACAGGTTGTGAGGAAGGGGATGAAGATCGTATGGAGCCTTTCTCAACTTTCTAAAACACTTTTAATATGGACAATCATATTTAGATTGGGTTATTTTAGTGGTTGAATGAGTTCTTATTGATTATCTAAGTTGTCTAACAGTTGTTATTGGATTATCTGTGGTTAAAAGGGATTTAGTGGATTATTGGCTTGGTTTAATGGGTTTATTTGGATTATCTGAAGGGTTAAAGGGTTTTAAATGAATCATCTGAAGCCTTGAGAACTGCAAACAGAAAATGTTTGATACTTTCTATTTTTTTAAATAGCATGCAATTACTCTCATGTTAATCAAATAATCCTTCAGCTCCATAAGAAAATCTAAATCATCACAACAAGCGTTAAGAGCCCCGTGAACGCACCACGAGAACCAGCAGTGAAGCCTCCTGGACATTGGAAACCAACCGCAATAAACTAAGGGGACAAAGAATAAACTGTGGGACGGTAAATGTTCTCGGGGCTTCCCTCACACGAACACGAAATTAAGTTTGAATCTTTATTGGGGGGTTAGGGATGGGGGAGGGGGGGGGGGGCGACTTTGATTTAAACCCTTTGAACCAAACTTCTGGGGACGGAAAACAAACCACAGATGATGCACGAGATGCGGAACCGGACCCCGAGGCCCCTTTGACCCTTGACCCACAGGACCTGTGTCGGGATGTCTCGATGCTTCATTAGCGTACCTGGCTCGTGGATGTTCTCCTCGCAGGAGTACCAGATGCCGGTGTGGAAGCGGCGGAAGAGGAAGCGGTCGTCGCCGGTCTCCCAGCTGTAGTGGACCTTGTTCTGGTCCGTCTCGTTCACGCCGTAGTCGATGCAGTTGTGGCGCCGCTGCTTGCTGCAGTTGGGCTTGGGCACGCGCTGGGTGCCCTCGCACCAGTACGTGGTGATGAAGGCGGTGGTGGAGAAGAACAGCGCCACCAGGTTCAGCCCCACGGACAGCAGAGCGCGACACTTACGCGTCGTCTTCATGGTCCTCGGGGGGCGGTCAGAGGCGGAGGAGAGGCATGGCGCGGCGGAGACGCGCGGAGGGAATTTACGCGCGTCCCTGGTCTCCTCTGTGGGTCGGTTCGTCCTCAGCGCGCGGAGACAGGTGGTCTGGAGTCCTACTCAGAACCGCATCCCCAGACCCGTTTGCAGACACGCAGACCGGGATCCTAGAGCTCCCAGACAGACCTGGTCCCAGCAAACCCGACAGAGCAGCGACAACTGGCAGAGAGCAGAACGAGAGCCCCCCTCTCCCTCTCTCTCCCCCTCCCCTCTCTCTCTCTCTCTCTCTCTCTCTCTCTCTCCCGGTTCCTCCTGCGTCATCACCGGGACCGGACTGTTCTCGTTAAAAAGGAAGAAAAAAGGAAGCCGAGATTTGCGACCACTAAATGTTATTTCTGAGTACGTAAAAAAGAGAAGCAGCAGTGGAGTTTTATCATTCATTTATTTTTGAGTCAGAAGTGTTGGTTATTTATTTATTGTTAGTATTATTACTGTATATTATACTAATTGTGTGACTTTTCCCATCAGAATGCAAATAAAAAGCTTGTTTAATGACGGTCCTTATTGAGTAAGTTTACAACCTGGCAATCCAAGGTGTCCTAATGAAGAATGTGTCAAAGCGTGAAAATGAAGCATATTCCCACCTGAGATCTTCAGTTTGTAAGGATGTATGTCTTCAGGAACCAATGGGATTCCAGAGAGATGCAAACAGGAAGTCAGACTTGTGATGACATTTAATAGTCATTTAATGGAATAATTGTCACCAACACTCAACGTCTCGAGATAACAACAGACCGAGGAGGGGGGGCGCATGGGAAACGGGAGGGGGGGCCCTCTTCATCGATCAGCCCGCAGAGAGCTCGCAACTCCAGGGCACGAAAACGACCAGAGACAAGGCCAAACCGCCCACCAATCCATCAGCACTGGTTTTTATGGCCTCCACCCCCAGATCAATAACCTGTGTGTGTGTGTGCGCGTGTGTGTGTGTGTGCGTGTGTGTGTGTGTGCGTGTGTGTGTGTATGTGTGTGTGTGTGTGTGTGTGTGTGTGTTTGTGACGTACGGCATGCTCGCTCTAATCCAGAGTGACGAAGCACTTCAGAGGGTCGATGAGCGGAGCAGGGAGGTGGATGAATGAGTCCTCTTCACACACGCGGCTACGTAATGTAGTAACATAACGTTGTAACGTAGCAACATGAGGTTGTAACGTAGTAACATGAGGTTGTAACGTAGTGACATGAGGTTGTAACGTAGTAACATGAGGTTGTAACGTAGTAACATGAGGTTGCAACGTAGTAACATGAGGTTGTAACGTTGCAACATGAGGA